TTCAATTTCTCTTTGATCCTTGAGTTATTTAAAAACAGGTGTTTTTAAAATTTCCAAATACGTGAGGTTTTCAAGAGTTATTTTTTGTACAGTAATTGCTTTCTGAGTTAAACTTCATTCTGTTCAAAGATACATATGTAGTAGTGCCAATTCCATGAGTACGTTAAAACTTGTTTTATGGACTCATACGAAGTCAATTTCCATAAATATTCCAGGTGCATTTGAGAAGAAAGTATAACCAATACTTATTGGTTGCAGAGTTCTCTCTCTCTATATATATCTATTAAATCAAGCTTGTTAACTGTGTTTATATGCTTTTATTTCCCTTCTGCTTGACCTATCAAATGCTGAGAGAAGTATGTTGAACTCTCCCACTGTGGTGATGGATTTGTCAATTTTCCTCTTGGTATAATAATTCTTGCTTTTATATTTTAATGCTATTTTAATAGATACATATGTGTTTAGAATTATTATGTGTTCATCGTGAGTTTAATCTTTTATTAGCATATGGTGACCATCTTCATCCCTAGTAAGGCATTATTTCTTAAACTTTATTTTGTCTGACATTATTGATATATAGCTATATACCAACTACCAACTGTCTTTTCATTAGAATATTCCTGACATATCTTTAGCAATTCTTTTACATTCAGTCTTTCTGTTTATGTTTTAATGTCATTCTTCTAAACGAAATAAAATGTATTTTAAAAATCCACTTTTGTCTTTAACTGACAAGTTTTCTCCAGTTATATTTATTGTGATTACTGATATATTTTGGATTTATTTACCACCCCATTTTGTACTTTCTTTTTGCCTCAGTTTTTCTTTGACTCTTTTCTCCCCCTTCTTTTGGATTGCTGTAATGTGTACATGCAAAGTGAAGCATAGGAAATATATGTATATTTAGAATAAACTTGAAAGTTATTTTTAGTTTTTGCAGCCAATCCAATAAAGGAGATGAATATGAGAGTAGTGACTCCTAAACTTGGACGTCACAGAGGAGTAAAAATTTCCCCCAAATGCCGGTGACCAATATAGGGTTGCTAACTTTTTATTTTGCCAAGTTAGGAAATTGATAAAACAATCGCAGCCACATCAACTATCATCTATCCTCATCATAATTTTATAAAAGAAAGGACATTTAAAAACAAAAATTTAAAGTGTGAAAAAGCAATGCTAGCTTAGAGGTCATTTAGCAAACTTATCTGAGATACACACACACACACACACACACACACACATATATTTATGCACATACATCTCTATATTTGTGTGTATTCTCATTTCACTGGAAATCATTGAAAACTTTGACCTGCACCTAAACTGGAACCCACTAATTAAGAGGATGACGGTGCAGAAGGAAGAAGAAGGTTCTATGTGGAGGGTTCAGAGGCGCCCTGGGGCTTGGGCAACAGAGAAAATGGCTGCTTACGTGTGCTTGGGTGCGGCCAGGAACCGGTGTGGTAGCTGGGTTGGGTATGCCTGGGGTGGAGGTGATGTGATTGACGAAGCCCGTGGCTGTTAAGTAGCCCAAGAACAAAGAGAGGAGCTTCTCTCTAAGCTGTAGAGAAGAGGAGAAACTTATTAGGCCGAGCACTGACCAGGATTCCTAGGTTGATTATGTTGGATAAAGGGCCTCGGGCAGTTGGATGTGGATTATGTCAGAGTGAAAGTCCTTAAATTACAGGCATTTATAAATCCTGTGTCCTGTATGGGTGCCGAATATGCTAGTAGAAACCTTTCAAAACAGCTGGGGTTGAAGATTAATTTTGTTATGTTACGCTTCCTTACTTAGATATAACATTTTGCCGGACATGATGGGACATTTGATGCAGTATTTTAAAATTTCACAATCATAAGCTTATTATAAGTTAACACTCGCGCACGTACACATGAATGCATAAATTGTCTAGATTAGCAAAAAAGTATATTGATATACTTCTCAGAGCAAAACCAAGTGAACTCGTGAACCCACAGAGAGCATTCATTTTGGGTTCCCCAAAGACCCATCGTTCATTCGTTCTCGGCTGCTCTCGTTTTCTTAGCATCTTCCGGGTAGAAAGTGAGTTCTGTCCCAGATCTTAGCAGGTGCTAGCGCAGGTCCTAGGGGAAAAGACCCGTTTCTCTCGGGGCTACTAAGTGTCCTGGTGCGCTGGAACGTGATGGCTCCACCGGTTCCTATGGCAGCCTCAACCAGAGTACTTTGAAGACTCAGAGAACACTACGGGGTTATTTGTCAGTAAACTAAGTTGGTAACAAAAAAGTTTGCTGTCTGTCTCTGTGGCACAATGGGCTAGCGCGTTCAACTGTTAAGCGAGAGGTTGGTGGTTCGAGTCACACCCAAAGATGAAACCTCAACCGTTTTGAATCCCGGGACTTGCCAGTGTCACCCCACTTGGGTTCCGTCCAGCCTACCACGTGTTCTGCTAAAAGTTTCGAGTCTACGTGATTAAGGTTGCAACTAGCAAAACAATTTTTACTTGCTCGAGCAAGGTTCTACTAAAATTGCATCATGAAACTGATGCTTTAAAAATACTTACCAGCCAGAGGAAGTGAGTATTTGTAATCCCAAACTGAAATATTTTACCCAACATCTGCCTGCCTTGCCTTTGTACTTGTATTTCCTAACTCTTGAAACGGGCGTTTCCAGACCCTGGGCCCTTAGTCATGCTAAGTCCTGCTGGTTTCCAATTTTTGGAGAACCTACCTTCTTAATATTTGAGTAACCATCTTCCTCTTCAGCCTGCTGACATTTACTTCCTCAATACTTATCCCTTTGGTTACTGCAATAACTACCTAGCCGCCTAGGCAGTTTCCTGTCTTCAGCTGTCCTCTCCTTTCCAGCCTCCAGGTAGCTGCCAGAGAGGCTTTCTTTAGAAAAGACCTGTTTAAAATCCCTCAATGGCCTGCAGGGTAGACTACAACCTCCTTAGCTTGGAAGGCAGTGCCTTTCATAATCTGGCCCCTGAACTCTCTCCTCTCCTTCACTGACTCTTTAGACTTGAACAGAACCAAACTACTTTCTTGACCCCCTTCTCTGGCTTTTGAATCTTTGCCCATATGGGCCTTCAGTGCTTCTCCTTTTTGCCTGGCAAACTCCTAGTCATCCATCACCACAACACCAAAAATTAAGCCTCTTTTCTGCAGCCCTTTCTTCATTCTCTCTCTCTTTTTTTTTTTTTTTTTTGCAGTACACGGGGCCTCTCACTGTTGTGGCCTCTCCCGTTGCAGAGCACAGACTCCAGACGCGCAGGCTCAGCGGCCATGGCTCACGGGCCCAGCCGCTCCGCGGCATGTGGGATCTCCCCCGACCGGGGCACAAACCCGTGTCCCCTGCATCGGCAGGCGTACGTACTCTCAACCACTGCGCCACCAGGGAAGCCCCATTCTCTCTTTATTTATGTGTTTTTTTTTTTTTTTCTCACTAAGAATGAAAGTTCCTCCAGGGAATGACCTTGGGTCGTTCATCTCGGTATCTTCAGTACCTAAACTCAAGCTTGGCACATTGTAAATACTAAATAAATGTGAGCTGAATGTTCAGCATTTCCAAATGCCCTTGTCTGATGTCTGAATCTCATCTAATATTCCTATACCAAGCTTGAATTGTCTTGGCATAAAGCTCATAATTGACACAATTAGGCTGGCCATATACCTCTGCCCAGGCCCCACCTCCTTCCTAGCTCTTTCCTGCACCATGCTCTAAAACTACCTCTAATTCTCATTCATCCTCCTATCCAATACCACCTATGAAATTTTCCCTTTGCCCCGTTGTCCCAACAAGATTTGGTGAATTAGCAAGCTGACTACTTCATATGAATTGTGGTGAGATGGTTGCTGAGGCGAGAGGGGTTCCTCAACGACCCAAACTAATCCCTAGGTAACCGAAAGTGGGGTCGGGCTGCTCGCCGCTCAAAAGCTAGTAAAGAGGCAAGGCTGGTGGAAAAGAAAGTTTGCTTTATTTTGGACGTCAGCAACCTGGGGGGAGGGGTGGACCCTGTCCAAAGGCCGACTCCCCTCACTGACAATCAGTGGGCAAGAGATTTTATAGGTTGCGGGAGGGCGCTACATGCAGAAACAGCACAGTCAGCTCTGACAGTCATCTTGAAATTGGTCATGGGTGGTCTAAACAGTGTCATCTCGATTGTTTTAAGTACAGTTCGTCTTCAGTTTGAGGGTCGGTTTGTTCCCATTTCCTTGAGGCCAATTCTTGGAATTGTGGCAGTTCCAATTCTCGTGGCAGTTCCAATTCTTGGAATTCCACAATTCCAAAATTGTGGAATTTTGTCATGGCTACAATCTGGACATCATGTAGTTAACTCTTTCCACCGGGTCGGGTTTCAGTAACTATAAGACAACTCACAGGAAATGGCTCAGAATATTATCTATAGCCTTTGAGAAGGAACTAAAGGTCCTTGACTATGCTTAATGACTAAACTATTACAATTTGGTCTCCTTTGACTGTTTTCCTTTGTTTCTGCATTTTCTCACTTCTCTGATTAAACTTATTCTTTGGCTAAAGGTTTTCCACAGACAAAAGGCAGGCAGAGGACATGGGGGACAAGGACCATAGGGTCCTGCTCTGTTTCACTGATAGAATTTTGGACAATGGGAGGAAAAAAGGATTTTTTTCATTCTTGTTTTATTACCATGGCTTTTCCATCTTCTGCCTGACAGTAGAAGCAGGATCTTGTAAAATAACTTACTGAAATCAAGAAATGGTTCTATTTAAAACTTCTGAAACACAAAGAGAGATAGCTTATCACTGTGATAGGCAGTGATTGCCTTCTCCACCTCTACTCCATTGTTACCGACATGCTGAGGGATTTCAAAGTTTCATAATTTAACTCAGTAGAGTTCAGTACGTTTAATATTGGTTATCCAACATTTGTTTAAAGGATGATGTGATCAAAGCTATATCTGAATTAGATACTAAAACGGAAAAGCTGGTTTTATAGTCCCTGCCACTGCTCTCTAATTCTCACTATTGTGCCCAGTAAAAGCATTCTCACCTCCTACCCATTCTTTCCTGTGCAGTTGTGGTTGACTTCTTCTCATGCTTTCTCTGTTTGGATGTGGAGGTATCTCTGTTCACTGAGCTTAATCCGGGACAACAATGTTGCTCTCCTTCCAATGGCCTTATTCTGTGCTTTCTTTTCTAAATCCTCCAACCCCTACACCCCTTCCTGGACCATTTCCTACTCATGACATTAAGAGGGTTGATCATTGTATACTTGCAGACCATCCCAATTCTGACATGGGCTCCCATGAAAAACTCTATTCTACATCACCTCTGTGATTTTCTTTTACCTCTATCTACCATGGCTCATATTCTAGGAAGACAGCCCAGGTGGTGGTCTTCTCTGGTCTTTCCTGGGCTACCCTGCTCTTTCTTAGCCACCCCCTTCATTGGTTCTGCTGTCTCCCCTAGACCCCCCAGACATACCCACAGTCTGTCTAGAAGGAGTTTTAGGGTGCCTTGAAGGCAGCCAGCCCTGAAGCAACAGATGCAGACTACTATCCAGCTGGTTCTCAACCATGAATTCTCTTATTTACATATCCATTTATTTAAGGACAATATTCATACATCAAGGGTAATCATCAAGAGTCTGTATTGTTGCTTTGCTGGGACGGAATGGTTAGAATAGAGAAAGCATCCATGTCGCTCTGAGACTTCTATTCCTGGTAATGCAGCTGCTCACTGCGGCTTCACTGTTGGCACTTGAAGATCACAGTCCTTTCCTTTCCATAGGAGACCAAGAGAAAACAGAGTTGGGTGAAGGACCCTCAGCCTAGAGTCTGAGGTGTAATTTTCCTGCTGCTCCCAGAGATGCCTGTTGGGCATGGTGGGGCTGTGAATTTAGAAAGAGGTTCAGAAATGCTTCTTTTATCACCCCCAGGGGATGGGGATGCTGCTTTTATTACCCTCATTTGCCCTGAGGGCCCTGAGTCCATGTGACTTTGCCATTCCTCCAGTCCTCCTTTGAGTTTCGAAGGGCTCTCTTCACAGAAAAATACAGCCCCGTGTCCACTGCAAACAGGAGTCCCATCACCAGGAAGAAAGTGATTTGGTGCCAAGGTGGAAAGAATGATGAGCTGGTTGGTGGATTTTCTTGACCTAATGGGAGAAGCAGAGGGATGAGAATAAAATGACATTTGTTAAGGCAGAAATTTGGAATAAACAGTGAAGTCATCAGTGGAAAGTCTTTCTGACACCTGCTAAGAGACAGATTCTAAGGAATATGGGGGAGTCTGGCGGAAAGCCATAGCTTCCTCCCACTGAGTCTGGATCTTAATGCTACCTGAGCAAAAGTGTTTTCATGTTTGATGGAGGTATGTGACGTAGCGCTGAGCAAGGTAGGTTGTAGCTGGGTTTTGTGTGAAATTCTGAAAGTAGTCAAAGTTTAAGTTGGTGTGAGAACATTATTTCTTAATTCAGTAACTTTCTCTTGTGTCTCAAAATAATACTCATTGATTTTACCCCACGAAAGGAAATCTAAAAAAAAAAAAAAAGTGAACCATTGAAATCTGCTACTTACCGTCAGAAAATTGATAATATTTCTTTATCACGGCTCAGTAACTAATAACCCAAAATGGAAAGAGGTAGAATTTGCTTGTTCTCAACCTCTTAGCCCTTAATATTGTTATTTTAAAGTCATTCCTCACTGTAGTCTATAAACTGGTAACATTAGAGTGGATTTTTAGTCTTAATTTTTTTAACTCTTAATTTTGATTTAATTTCAAACTTAAAAAAAAAGGTTACCAGTAAAGTATAAATAACTCTCATATATTCTTTACCTAGATTTACTAATTTTTGGCATTTTGCCCCCATTTTCTTTATTATTTGCTTTCTCATTCTCTATTTGAGAGTATTTATTTTCAATTTAAATTGTGATGAAGTTTTTTTTATACAAATTATGGCATTGTTTTGTTAAAATCTCAGAAGATGTGTGGCTATCTTGCTGTCTTACTACATGTAAATTGCTTACAACAAATGTCTTAGTCTGATTACAGGTGGAAGTTTTGTGAAATTAGGAAGCCCAGGAGCACGGTGGCAGGGGATCTCTGACCCTGGAGGATGGTACTACAGAGACTGGAGATGTTTTCTAAGTGACTTAGTGGAATTCAAAATTCTGTCATAGGACATTGGCGCCTGTCCAATCCTTTCATTTTATCTGGTGGATCAGTATACAGGCTTTGAATCTCTGGTGTGCCCTTGGAGACACATTAATTACCCCCCTCCCTTTTTTCCACCTCAGTTACTTCATCTGTAGAGGCAATATTACCGATCTCTTAATGTTGTTGTGAGGGGTTACTATGATCATCAGACTAGTTGCATGTAAAGAAGCACTCAGCACAGTGTCCAGCACATTGAAAGATGCCCAATAAAGTTCAGCATGTCTTTGTTACAGAAGTGGAAACTGAGGTTCAGAGAGTCTAACTGGCCATAGTTACGTGGTTAATTAGCAGCAGAGCCAGAACACAGGTTATGGGTCTTTCTGTGAGAAAGTGAGGCACTACTGCCAACTTCGCTTTTGGCTATGACTTGAGGCTTGGAGGGGAAAGGAGAACAGGTAATGATGGGCCAGCATGATAGAGACAGATAACATTATGGATATAGTTAGAATGAGGTAAGGACAGGCATATTTATGGGGGAGGAAATGTGACTTCCGCACCAAGATACTTGTTTTCACAACTGCCTTGCCAAGTAACCAGGCTCCACACCCACAGAGAGAACTTGAAATTGTGGTCAGGAAGTTGTCCTGAATAACTAAAAATGATATTGCATAAGAATGACCCTTGTAAAGACGTCTGTGGAATGGTCAGCAATCTCCTCCCAACTCATCTTCCCAGTGTGAAGGCAGAGTCCCCACACATGGTGCTCTGGGCCCTTTAGATGCGCTCTGCACATCTCTTACCTTGAACAGTGATGTTCATAGCCTCTGAAGACTCGTTTTTACTCCCGATAATCCCCCTGCAGAAGTAGGAGCCACTGTGTTCAAGTTTTGCTTCTGGAATGTAGAAGTCAGAATTCTGATAAGAAAACTGCTTGCCTTGGCCATTCTGGAAAAATTGAACCTTTCGTACAGTAGTTTTCTTCCAACTGTGACACTTCAGCTGAATGGGCTCCCCCTCCTGGACCACCCACCGAGGGGCCTGGAGCAACAGCCAGCCTGAAAGACACAAAGAGAACACAGGCCCAGGAGGCCTCAGCATTCAGTGCAAAGCTTTTGTGAAGGGGATGCTCACCACCCAGATCCTGGGGGATGATGGAAAGCCAGACGGGGAGCCATCCTAACATAGCTTTCTTTGGGAAAAAGCCAACTGGGCCCTGAAAGAGAGCTCAAGCCACACCAAGAACTTTTGTCTAATGGTGGAGAGGGAGAGACACACACATGGTCAAAACATAAGGTTAGAGCATAGGGTCTAAGTGATGAGGCAGGTGAGAAGCAATTTGCAGTGTCCTTAATGGCTACACTTGGATTTGCTATGGCAGGTAATAAGGAGCCATTGTAAGTTCTAGATCAAAGAGTAAAAATTGTATTAGAAAATGATGATTTGCCCAATTAAAGGAAAGGTAGACTTCAGAAGGAATGGACAGCTGTAGGAATATTGGAAGACTCTTGCAGACAGTCAGGAAGAAGGTTACTGAGTGGCCACAGGAGTGGCTGCAGAAATCATGAAGGAGACCTCAATATAAAAGTCAGGGACGGGGGACTTCCCGGGTGGCGCAGTGGTTAACAATCCGCCTGCCAATGCAGGGGACATGGGTTTGATCCCTGGTCCGGAAAGACCCCACATGCCACGGAGCAACTAACCCCGTGCACCACAACTACCGAGCCTGCACTCTAGAGCCCGCAAGCCACAACTACTGAAGCCTGTTTGCCTAGAGCCTGTGCTCTGCAACAAGAGAAGCCACTGCAATGAGAAGTCCGTGCACCGCAACAAAGAGTAGCCTCCGCTTGCCACAACTAGAGAAAGCCTGCGTGCAGCCAAAAAAGAAAAAAATTAAATTAAATCTTAAAAAAAAAAAAGTCAGGGAGGGGAAAAAAAAAGCATGTGTGGTAGTGCTGATGGTAATTGGTGGTTTCTGAAGGGCCACAGCGTCTCAGCAAGGCCATCTTCATTACTGAGCACAGCCTCTGAGAGAGAGAATGTTATGTCACCAAGATGCTTGTTTTCACAACTGCCTTGCCAAGTAACCAGGCTCCACACCCACAGAGAGAACTTGAAATTGTGGTCAGGAAGTTGTCCTGAATAATTAAAAATGATATTGCATAAGAATTTTAAAATGACATGAGAAAACATTCATCAGACAATGTTAAGTTAAAAAGACAGAATACAAAAAGTATGTATGCTCAGAAAAAAAGAAAAAACATGGACTTAAATATTATGTAATCATATATGTATATATATGGTCTGGTTTCTTTGGGGGGAACATTCTTGTTCCATTCTGGCTGTCATGGACTCAGTGAATGTCCATATGTACATTCGTTAAACTAATATTTTATTGAGCACTTACTATGTTGTGCAGACTGGGGATACCCAGATGACTAAGACACATCAAAGAATCTGTGATCTAGACATAGAAATAATTACAATACAGTGTGATAAGTGCTACAACAGGCTAAGAACAAAGGACTGAAGGACCAAAGAGAACGGAGCAAAGAAATTCTGCCCAAAGAAAGTAAGGAAAGCTTCTCAGACAAGGAGATAAGTGAAATGGGTCCTAAAGAATGATCAGGAGTTTGCCTGCTGAAGTTAATGCTCTTGGTCACAGTTTAAAACAGTTCTCACCGATTAGACTTCTAAAGTCAGTTTCTAGAGCCAAGTTTAAGACAAGGTAATAACTACCAGATATGATTTGTCTATTGCTTCCTGTTGGTAATTCCCCATTTTATTTGATCATAGGTGGCCATCTATCTCTCACCTAGCTAGATAATAGACATTCCTCTTTGCAGCTCTGTAGACTGAGAACAATGTCAGCTAAATGACACAGTCAGGCAAAGAAGCCAAGAAAATCAGCTTCAGATTCCATGGAATTCTGTTGCAGGTCCACCTTCATTAGGCCCTCCTTCCCCTCCAGACTTGTTCCACTCACATACAATATACAGATGGGGCAGCCATGAAAATAGAGTCAGGCTTAACAAGGTGACGCTGCAGGTACCGGGCTATGTGGTGTGATTTCAGGGACACCAGGAGAGATCTCTGCCTCCAAAATACTTCTTCTACTTGCATCTAATGAGTGGATTCTGTTAATACACAAAGACTGATTCCATGATGAATATGCAGGCTGAATGGGTACATATATCTCTATTAGGAGAGATATCACACGGCCAAATTTATGCTGAAGTGTATATTTTGAGTGTGGCATTGATGGGAAGAGAGAGAGAGAGATTCTGGTGAATTAGGGGTGGCTTGTGGGGTAGCTTAGGGCACTGTGTGTCTGACAGTGAGGGGATCGGGGTCCTAAAACGGATTCATTAATTTATTCAGTAACTATTACTGAGCATCAGTGTCATGCCCTGACCTTCAGGTGACGCCATGCATGCTGTATGTATTCTATGCGAATGCTGATTCCTGGAATTGTGCAGTGCAGCAGTCCTGTAGTATATGCCAGGCTTTGACTTTTTACCTAAGGCCTACTTATAGCTAGGACTGCAATCTGATATAATTCAGTAGGACTACAGATCATCTCATCTTAGTTTTAAGCCCCAGGAACATCATCTTCCAGTGCTTCTCAAGTCTTTCAGGGCCTGTTTTTTTTTTTTACCATTTATTGGTGATTTCCCTTTTCCCCTTCACCTACTCACCCACGTAGACTTTTAGCTTCACCGGGTCGCTGAGTGTGGAGAGGCCTGTCTGACACTTGTAGTCTCCACTATCCTCAACTTTGGCATCTGTGATGAAGTAGCTGGAGGCCTGGTTTGGGATGAGAGTCCCATTGTGCCACCACTGTGTGGAATTGTCTCCAAGAGGGTAGTCCCCCTGGCACTTCAGAGTCACGTGGTCATCCTTGAGCACCCGGTCCCATTGAGGGTCTAGGAGCACCACAGCCTTTGGGAGATCTGCTGAGGAGTCAAGAGAATGTAGATAAGGGCAGGAAATGAGCCAGCCCTACACTGGCATTCCCAGGGAGGCTCAAAACCCACTGCGAACCGAGAGTTGGCAACTCAACCTTAGCGTAGCACTCAGTCTGAGCATATTGGCTTGGAGAGGCTTGGCCTCCTTCTTTTTGCCTCGCACTGTTGTGGCCTCTCCCGTTGTGGAGCACAGGCTCCGGACGCGCAGGCTCAGCGGCCACGGCTCACGGGCCCAGCCGCTCCGCGGCATGTGGGATCCTCCCGGACCGGGGCACGAACCCGTGTCCCCTGCATCGGCAGGCGGACTCTCAACCACTGCGCCACCAGGGAAGCCCTGGCCTCCTTCTTGGTCTCTCTTTATCTTGAGCAAAACTGGCCAGAGAAGCATAGGGCCAAGCCCTACTGTGTTGGGGGAATTACCCCTGCCAGCCCCACATCAGCAATTTCCTATGCAAAGAACATTTCCTAATACCCTGTGGCTGTTGCACATTTACATTCCTCACTTGACCCATCCAAGACCACGAAGCAAACTCACCAGCTTGCGTGCCAGCTGAAACTGTAAGAAAAAAGAGTGAAACAGGTATTGAGTAGCAGCAGAGATCAGGGTGACTGGAGTGTGGAGTGAGTTTAAACTCCCCTGCCCACCTCTGCCCTGGGAGGCCTGTGTTCCCAAGAATCAAGATAAATATAGTGGATAGCTCTCCCATTGCCTGTCCTCTGGTCTCCAATGTCTGTGCCTCCTACTCCCTTGTCCACCCAAGCCCCTGTTTTCAACACCATTCCCTTACTCTGTGGTCCCCGTTCGAACTCCCAGATTGAGGGTACAGATCGAATATCCCTGAATCAAACCATAAAAACAACCTCACCCCAAGTCCCCTGGAAAGGGAGGAAATTAAAAGACTTAGAGAGGAGCACTGGAATGTGAGAATGGAAGAGACAGACCTTCAGGACCATCTAGTCCATGCTCTTCAGTTTATAGATAGAAAAACTGAGACCCAGAGGGGTGAAGTAATGGAGACCTCACGTCCCCCTTCACCTCCTGATTATGCCCCAATCAGGGCCAGCAATTCTCCACATCTCTAATGCTTGAAGCTTTGTCTCCTAGAAGCTAAATCTAAATCTATAGACATGGTAAGGGGTCCTATCCCTTGGTAGGGGATCTCATCCCTTGCCTGAAAAGGGATGTCTGCTGAACCCAGGGCGTCTTGAGCTCAACTCCCAGGCAGGGTGATTCTGACTTACCTAGAAGCAGCAGAGCCGTTGGCGGTAGCACCCGCCACATGTTGTGCATTGGAGTAGACAAGTCACCACAGATAGCAGAGCCCTAAGGGGACCTAGCTGACTTGAAGAGAGGAAATACACAGCCCTTCTCCCCACCCCTCAAGCCTATTGCTCATCAGTTTCCTTTTCTGGAAATGTCATCTGATTCCTGAATCTGAACGCTGACAAATGAATCCCCACCTCTCTGGCTGGGATCCACCCGGTGACACGAACAGGACAACAGGACCCTGGGAATGAGACTCCATAAGGAGGACATTCCCTCAGGGGGTCTCTTGTTCTACCTCAAAACGTCTCACTCTCCTGCTTGGCCCAGACCCATCTCCACCCAGCCAGGGCCTGCCTACAGAAAGCAGTCATTTAAATCATTAGAAGTGTCCCTCACCCCAATATTATCTCTACCAACATTTTCTTTTAAAATTGGAAATGCATATGCCTCTGGGATCTCTTACTAACTCCTTCGTGTGAATTCGATCATGAGCTTTGCATCCTCTAGTAAAAGAAACACAGGCAGTGGGAGAGAAATGGGCTCTGGGAGGAGGAGTTACCACTGAAAGGTTGGAAAGAACACAGAAAAGGTGGAAACGGGGTGGGGGGGGGGAAGGGGGCAGGGTGAAGCGAGGACCAGAGCATTCTACCTTCACCCCAGTGTTATGAGGGCTGTGCTGGGCCACAGTAGTTCAGGTTACCTTGGGCCCCTCAGGGACCCAATGGGCCTCAGCTGGTCTGTGAGCCTAGCAGCCTGAGTTCCAGGGCTTCTTTCCAGAAAAAGTGTAGGCGCAGTGGTTAGGAAGTGGTAAGGTTGCTAACCTCTTCTCCTCTTTTCTCAACATCTCTCCTGCCAACACATACAGACCCATACCCTCCCCCATCCTCACCCCTACTTTGTTTGCTCTCACATCAGTCCAGATCTCAGACAGAAAATCAAACGGCTCTGCTTGGCCATATCATGCGCCCAGCAGATTCCTGGACATCTGGGGCAGGTCTCACTTGGAAAAGCCTTGGAAAAGCCCAGGAGGTCAGCAGCAGACAGAAATGAGCCAGCGATGTTTGGCAGGGGTAGAGTGGAGGCAGGGCCCGGCACAAGTGCCTGCTGACCACTGCTTCGGACTCATGCCCCTTTCCACTCCAGAGGCAAACAAAAGCGACTTCACAGGTTTTGATTTCTGTTTTGTTTTGCTCCTGAGTAGAATTATAATTGATCCTCCACCATTCCCGTCCTCCCCCAACACGTTCCTGCAGCAACCCTCCCCCACAGGCCCTTGGATTAGACGTCTGACTAAGATGGACATTCTAGTGCTCCCTCTTAAGTGATTTGTTTACACCTTCCAAAATCCAGACTAGTATCTGAAATCTTCAGGCTCCGTCATATAGTACTTCAGACGCTTATCTGGGAAACCTAAAACAGGAAGAGTACCTTCAGGGCTCTCTGTGATTTCTGAGGTGAAAGGTGGCTACCCCTCAGCGCTCTCTGTTGTTCATTGCTACTGAAGTGGCTTTCTGCAACGTGATGTGGTGCAAGGCATTCACTTCAGTTTTCCTTCTTTGAGGTTTTATTTTCTTGTTGATTCGTTTCCTGTCTGTGGCCTTCAAATGGAGGGAGGAATTGTCAGCTGCCGAGAGGCTGGGCTAGACAGGAAGGAGAGGAGGGAGAGCACAGGAGGACAGCAGAAGAATGGGAAACGTTCTGCAGGTTTTCCTGAACAATCCTCCAGCTGAGTGTGTTGGGGTGGTATGCGTTAATTTTACAGTGATAGGTAAAATGCAAATTTTTAAAAGAAGGACAGATGGTCTTGGCCTATTTTAGGCTGGAGTGTTTGTCTCCACGCTTGCTTTTTCTTTTCTCCCTCATCCTTTTCTTTACTCCCTCCCTTCTTCTATTCCCTAGTGTTGAAATGACAGCCACAGCACAAGGTTCTGAGATTACAGAGTTCATCAGTTATCATTCCCCGGGATTTATAGCTTCTTAAGGGGAGACTACCAGATGAGCCTCTGAAGTGCTTTAGGGATTATGACAGTACTTCTGAAATTCTGTGTATGCACGAAGAAGCCAGTGGCTAATTCTGTCTGGGGGAGGAGTCCACGTGGAAGACAGAACACTTTAATTGGATCACAGAAGATAATTATGTGTTCAGCAGGAAGGCTTTTGAGGGAAATAGTCGTTTCAGGCAAAAGGAACCGCATCAGCAGAGACTTGGAGTGAAATAGGCTGGCATGTTTACAGAGCTGGGTATAGCTCCACAGGGTTCGTGAGTACGACAGAGGAGAAGCACAGGCTCTTAAAGGGTTATGAGGACTGTGTTTCAGGTGAGTGTGGGATGGAATTCCAACTCCACTGTTTATTTAACCTGTTGAGGTCTCAGTTTCCATATCTCTAAACTTGGGCTAACAAAAATGGTACTAACCCCAAGGAGTTGTTGTGAGGTTTCAATGAAATAATGCATATAGAGTTGTTGGTTCCACATCTGGAACCATACCGGTTGATGACTATTAGAAGTGCAACACAGGAGGTTGAGGCCTTCTCTCTTTTTCTGACTTACGTTGTGACACTCCCATCCCCTGTACTCCTTCAGGAGCTTGTGCTTCTCCTTTGTAGTCCTCATCACATTTGTGGACTATAAGTTCTTTGAGGGTAGGGAATCTGTTCCTCTTGTTCATCATTGTATCCGCAGCATATTGCACAGTGCCTGGAATAGACTAGTCATTCAATTAATATTTATTGGGTGATCATAAAGGACTTTGTATGTCACGGTGAACAACTTGTATGTTCTGGAACTGCTATCATAGTAGTTTTTACAAAATGTAAAACTGATCATCAAGGTTTTAAGCTGGGGAATGACACAGTCCAAGAAACAGGTTGGAGGGGAGAAAGATTGAAGGTGGAGGGAAAATTTGGGAAGTTATTTTAACAGTTTAGCTGAAAGATAGGAGATTCTCTGATAAAAAAGTGAAAATGCAATGGAAGCATCCAGGAGAGATGTTAAGAAAGTAGAACGGACGGGATTTGGCTGAGTGATTGGCAATGAGGAATGATGGAGAAGGAGGGACTAGGTGATGCTCAACTTTCTAATTTGGGTGATCAGGAGGATGGTGACACATTTCCTGGACATAAGAAATAGAGGAAGAGGAGCAGGCTTTGGGAGAGGGAGATAATGATCTCAGCTTTTGACACTGAGTTGGAGGTTGGTGGTGATTTTAGGTGGAGATGCCAAGTAGGCAGTTGGACTTATGGCTCTGGAACTCAGAAGGATCTGGACAGAAGAAGATTTAGGAGGCACCAACATGGTTGATGTTTTAAACTTTTTTTTTTTTTTTTGTGGTACGCGGGCCTCTCACTGTTGTGGCCTCTCCCCTTGCGGAGCACAGACTCCAGACGCGCAGGCTCAGCGGCCATGGCTCACGGGCCCAGCCGCTCCGCGGCATGTGGGATCTTCCCGGACCGGGGCACGAACCCGTGTCCCCTGCATCGGCAGGCGGACTCTCCACCACTGTGCCACCAGGGAAGCCCTGTTTTAAACTTTTGATAAAAGCTTTAGGCCCTCTCCCAAGAAAAAAACGCACACATACACATCATTTTCCCTATAATCTAAGAAGCTGCCTGTGAAGCCCATCCAAAGATCCTAGGTTAAGATGAAGTATAAATATCACCTCTCTGATTATAAGAGTATTGAGTGAGAAAAAAGGGGAACAGTGAGGCAAAGGAAGGGGAAATGAGGGGAGAGGTGGGGAGGGGGAGAGGAGAGGACCAACGACAGAAACTTGACACTCAGCAACTTTGACAGGGTGTGTAAAGGAAGAATAGCTGACAAAGGAGATTGGGTAAGAGGGGCTAAAGAAGTGAGGAGAACAGGACAGCCCAGGGAGGGCAGCTCTTCAAGGAGGGAGAAGTTAACAGTATAAAATGCTGTAGAAAAGTTCAAGAAAGAGTTCTTTCGATGTGGCGATCTGGGAACAATTCATGACCTTTGCCTGAGCAATGTCAGGGGCTGGGGTTGGGGGCCAGGAACTTGATAACTTTTGGTTGAAGACTGAGTAGAAATGAAATAGTGTTTTAATGAGTTACTACTCCTTTTAAGAATCTCTGTTATGCTTTCATAACAGAGAAAGCATAACAGAGGGGATCCACTCCTTTCCCCCTTCTTATCAGCACCTCAGTGTCCCTGGGGGAAACCCCCACTGTGAGTAGTCCATAGAAAGTGGTAATTGCTTCTTACTACAGAAGCCAAAGGAGTCAGATCTCCCCTTCCGTCACCTTGGGCCCGTGTTATGGGCTAAATTTTGTCTCCCCTAAATTTATATGTTGAAGTCCTAATCCCCAGTACCTCAGAATGAGGCCATATTCTGAGATAGGGACTTTAAAGTTAAAATGAGGTCATTATGGTGGACCCTAACCCAGTATGACTGGTACAGTTATAACAAGAGGGGATTAGGACACAGACATGCACAGAAGGAAGACCATGTGAAGACACAAGAAGATGGCTATTGTGGACTTCCCTGGTGGTGCAGTGGTTAAAAATCCGCCTGCCAATGCAGGGGACACGGGTTCGGGCCCTGGTCGGGGAAGATCCCACATGCCTCGGAGCAACTGAGCCCGTGCACCACAACTACTGAGCCCATGTGCCACAACTACTGAAACCCATGTGCTTAGAGCCTGTGCTCTGCAACAAGAGAAGCCACCACAATAAGAAGCCTGCGTACTGCAACAAAGAGTAGCCCCTGCTCGCTGCAACTAGAGAAAGCCCACGTGCAGCAACGAAGACCCAATGCAGCCAAAAAAAAAAAGAAAAAAAAAAAAAGAAGATGGCTATCAGGACTTCCCTGGTGGTCCACTGGTTAAGAATCCATCTTGCAATGCAAGGGACACCAGTTCAATCCTTGGTCAGGGAACTAAGATCCCACATGCTGCAGGGCAACTAAGCCAGCGTGCCACAACTAGAGAGCCTGAGTGCCGCAACTACAGAGCCCATGTGCTCTGGAGCCCGTGCGCTGCAGCGAAAGATCTTGTGTGCCGCAACTAAGACCCAATGAAGCCAAAAAATAAATAAATAAATATTTTTTAAAAAGATGGCTATCTATAAGCCAAGGAGAGAGGCCACAGGAAAATAAAACCCTGACAACACCTTGATCTCTGACTTCTAGCACCCAGAACTGTGGGAAAATAAATTTCTGTGGTTTAAGCTCCCCAGTCTGTGGTACTTTGTTATGGCAGCCTGAGTTGACTAATACAGAAAGCCAAAGAGCAGGCATGTGATCTAGGCTTGGCCAGTTTGTCTTTTCTGGGATGTTGAATTCTGAATAGTTGAGACTTATTCACTCATAAGCAAGATTCACTTAGAAGAGAGGGAGATGGTTGGGTCCCATTCACCACAACAGTGGGATAGGCTGATCTACCTCCAGCTTCCCCCACCACGATAAATTCCTTTCTTTAAACTGAATATATCCAGAATCTGATACAGTTGCTTATTATCAAGAGCCCTGAGTGATACAGTAAGAAAGGAGAATTAGAAGATGGTACTTATGAACTTCCCTGTTGGCACAGTGGCTAAGAATCCACCTGCCAATGCAGGGGACCCAGATTCGAGCCCTGGTCCACGAAGATCTCACATTCCGCAGAGCAATTAAGCCCATGCGCCACAACTACTGAAGCCTGCGTGCCTACAGCCTGTGCTCAGCTACAAGAGAAGCCACCGCAATGAGAAGCCTGCACACCGCAATGAAGAGTAGCCCTGCTCGCCGCAACTAGAGAAAGCCTGCGTGCAGCAATGAAAACCCAACACAGCCAAAAATAAATAAATTAAAAAAAAAGAAGAAGATGGTAACTAGAGGGGGTCAAGGAAAAAAAGGGAGACTTTGTTTTGTTTTAAGTAAAGATTTGAACTTGTTTACGGGTCTTTGGGAAGAAGTCAGCAGAGTGGGAGAAGTTGGATGCGTGATAAGGAAGGAATACCTGATGAAGCAAGTGCAGATCCTAAAGACATGAGAATAGAACATGGGTGGAGAGTTGGCTCTGAACTGGGTATGGAACACCTCTCTCTCTGAGCTAAAAGCAGGAGGTGAGAAAGATGCACATGCAAATCTATTTTCAGATATTGAATAACAACGTTAAAGTAGTTTGTATCTGCTAGCCTTGATTTTCTTGGGTAAGGAGTCGGTCATCTGTTGAGAAAGAGGGGGTGAAGGTGATGATAGTAGGGGGCTTAAGGATACCAGAGAAGGTTTAGAATGACCATTACAGTGAATAGGAGAAGGAGCTGACAGTTTACATGTAAAAGGATTGCCAAGCAATGCCACGGGCCCAGCAGAGGTTGAAGTTTATGGATTTGTAGCTAGGCCAATCCTCAGTGTTGGTAACTTTTCTTCAGTAGTATTCAGGCCAACGACTGTCTGACTAGCTTGCCGAGAGCAGTCCTGAGCAGGAATGCAGGTAGATTATGCCACCTGTAGAACCTCCAAAGCGGTGCAATTGGATTGCGGAAATACTAGAATGAAGGCAGGTAGAAGTTCAGTGAAGTCATCCAAGACACAGAGTCAGGAGAGGGAGTGTATGAGGCAGGCTGGCCTGGTCGTCTTTGGCGTAGCCCAGGACGAGAATTCCAGCTATCAACTGCTGTGTAACAAACCATCCCAAAATTTAAAATAATAATCATTATGGTGTAAATTAACTATTTTATTGTTCTCATGGATTATATGGGTCAGGAATTCAGACAGGGCATGGTAGGGATGGCTTATAGCTGCTCCACTATATCTGGGGCCTCCCCTGGGAAGAAGCAAACAGCTAGGGGCTAGTATCATCTGTAGGCTTTTTCATAAAAAAATGGGGGAAAACTGAGAAAGATAAAGGCGCTCGGAAAGTAAAAAATACTAAGAAAGTACCCAGGTTCACAGACACTGAATCTCAAACATAGGTGGAAAATGCACACAGAATAAGACACACGCACAGAGGTCTGGAAACAGATGTGAATATAGAAACACATAAAAGCAGTCAAGATGAGAGAACAACTCCAAAAATAGGAAGAGACAGACACAAGGGAAGAAAACTACAAGGAAATGAAATCGATTTTGTGGTGTAACCTTAAACCACTGCCTGTAGTTTAGCAGCGGCCACTGAACTAATATAGCTTATTGACGTGGAAGAGCTTTACAGAAATTGATGTTATATGCAAATGCCCTACCTTGTTATCTCACATCAGAACACACTTAGACTCCTCCCAAACTTGCAGAATTTTAAGTTGGTGATGTGTTATGGTAAAGATACTGGTTGAGGGGGAAGGAAATCCAGGTTTTGGTTTCAGTCTGACAGAGTCCAGCTGTCGAGCCACTTCTCTTTCCTAAAGTTCTGTTTCCTCATCTGTAAGTGAGGTAATTGAGCTAGAGTATGTCTAGTTCTTTCCATTTTAATATTCTATCATTTTGAATGCTGGCTTCCACTTGTAATTTCTAGGCATTGCAGAAAGTGAGGCAGGAAAGTCAGGGCCGAACCCAAGGACAGCCTCCTCATGTATACGCATTAGGGAGAAGGCAAAGACCCTTCCTTGTTTTGCACTTAATGAGGCCATGATGCATGGAGGAATGACTTCTAAAGCAGGAACATTGTAGCATCTGAATGAGAAACTCTCACCATGAAAATCGAGGAGCATGCGCAAAAAAAATGCACAGGTTGCCTCATGACCCTGTAGGAGCTTCCACCTGTGGGGCTCCCTCGACTAGTATGGAAAAATTTAAGGGAAAACAACTCTTAGAGTGCATGTACGGTGGCTTCAGGAGACAAGTGCACAGGACCAGGAGCTGATGCAACCTGGTGCATCCAGGCCACACTTCAACCCTCCCCTCAATGAATATTCCACCGTTAATCAAAAAGACCCCCACCCATTCAAAAACCTAAAAATAAGATTAAAAAGGAGATCAAAAATTCCGCGGGGCTGGCCTCACTTGGGAGGACGCCCACACTCTTCTTTTCCGAGTGTGTAAAACTTTCGCTTCTGCCCTAAATAAACTGCTTCTTTGTTCTCCTTGCTACTCAGTCTCTGTGTGTTTTTCTTTGTGTTACGTGTTCCTTGCCCACATTCTTTTGGATGAGCTGAACAAGATCCTGGACTTCTTGATAAAGCTTTTTCGGTATCAAAAGTAGTAAACTTTGTCTTTTGAAAATCCTAATGAAGGCCACTGGGCTATTTTTGAGAGCCCAAGGAATTTTCTAACAGAGCTAGCAAATTAATAGCTCTAAGATTTAAAAGTTAATTATAAAAATTGAACTCATGCTTTCTCTTCCATGCAAACCAGATAAACCTACTAGAAAAATAAAAGTGACACTGAAAAGAAACCTTAATTTTGAAAGGGAAATGGAAATACTGTTTTGTTTTGGTTTTTCATTAGTGCTATTCCTTCATCAGTGGGAATGTGAGCAGAGCTCAGAACCATTCCTAGAGATTCAGTCCTTGTTCCTCTCACCTATATTTTGTGTTGGTGCTTTAAACAATTTTTTTGGAAAATACACACATTATCTATAATATATTCTTTCTCTTTCTATATTCTTCTAATTCAGAAGTAAATAAAGTAAAAGTGACAGTGATACCTCTCTCCCCCAATTTCACTCCCCTCTTCAAGGATAACCACTGAGAAATTTGTTGTCCTTCCAGAACTTTCCCTGTACATTCATATTCATGTAAACACACATCTACCCTTACATATTTATATTTTGTTCATTTTTGTTGTTATTGTTTACATATTACATGACATAATTATTCTGCAACTTGCTTTCTTACAATTCCACATACACATAGGCACACAAATGCACACACCACTCAATATTTTCCCTTTTTTTTTTTTTTTGGCCGTGCAGCTTGTGGGATCTTAGTTCCTAGACCAGGGATTGAACCCGGGCCCCGGCAGTGAAAGCTTGGAGTCCTAACCACTGTGAGACAGGCTGGGACTTGGGACATTTTGCTGCAGTGCTGCAAGGCTTGCACCAGGACACACCTCTCCTCAAGCAACAAAATACAAAGAAACTGTATGGGACTGAAAATAACTGTGCAGGCACAGTTGGCACAAATTCTGGACCCAAAAGATACAAAGAGACCAAAAAACCCAACTGCAACTTTTGAAGAGCTTGGAGCAAAAACAGGGTGTCCTGAGCAAAAGCAGGGTACTGAGCATGCTCCCTGCACACAACCCCACCTAAGAGGTGGGCAAAACACCTAAGCCACCCCTCTGTTCCGACCCCCTGGACACACCCCTACCCTTACCCCACATAAGGAACAAGCTTGCCTCCTCCCTCAGGGAGTGACCAAGCAAGGGAACTTGTTGTTTGTTCCCGCTACCCGCTGCTGCAGGAGGGGCCCCAATAAAGCCTTGCCTGAATTTCTTGTCTGGTCTCTAGTCAATTTCTATTGATTGGGAAAGGTCAAGAACCCTGGTTGGTAACATATTTTGTGGCACGCAATGAGGGGGGGGAGAGGATCTGGGCCCCTCCAGGACCACGAACACAGCTTCCCCGTGGGTGACAAGCGGCCACCTGAACCTCTTGTTTCAGCGTCACCGCATTTGGTAAGTCTAACTTCCTGGTCCCTGGGGGCCTCAGTACCCTCATTCAAGCAACGCTTTCCCCCTCCTCTTTGTTCTTTTTCCCCCTCCCATTTTCCCTTTTCCCTCTCCTGATCTCTCTCTACTTCTCTCTCTGTCCTCTCCTCTCTCTGTCCTCTCTGACTTCTGTCATCTCCTTCTGAGAGAGTGGACATAGGACAGCTACAGTGTCACTCCTCTCAGCTTGTGAGACCATGCTCCCTCTGACCAGCAACGGGGGACAAGCAGAGATGGGAGAGGCTCGCCTCATACCATGCAGACCTTGGTCCAGCGGCCTCTCCCTGACCAGAGATCTATGAGCCTGATAGAGGTTGAAACCTCATCTCATGTAGTGGTTGGAAGTCCGATTGTCCCAATATTCTCCCCTTTATTTTCCTGCCGCCAAGAGAAGTCTATATACTGGGGTACGTGTGGGTGAGAGTCCCACCTGTGGGTCGGGGACCCACAGACTGATCTCGGAGGGACATCGGTGAGTGGTCCTGAAGAGACATCTTAGTTCCCTGCCCAGGAATTGAATCTGAGTAGCCTGGATGAAAACCAGGAATCCTAACTGCTAGGCCACCAGGGGCCAGAGGTTAGAAGTGAAGTGGCCCTGGTTCTTTCCCCAATTTGAAAGCAAGAATGTTTCAAGGAGGCAAAAACTGTTAAAACAGGTACAAAGTTTATTATTAAAGACACAGCACAAGGAATGGGAGAGCACACAGAGAAGCAGTTTGTTTATCTAAGACAGAAGCAAGGCAGAAATACACGCCCAGAGAGAAAGGGTATGGGCGTCCTCTCTAAGGAGGAGCGCAGTAAAGAGGTGATTTAAATCCCTTGTATAGGACAGTTCTTCTGGGTCTCCGTTTACCTTTGGCCAATTATCTCGTTTCTTTTTTCACAACTGACTGGTCCCAGGACCCTCCCCAACATGCGTGCCCAACTTTTTGCTAAGATGGATCCCACCCCAGAGGCGTGTGGGTGCATGTCCACACTTATTATGGGGTGGTGCCCCCTCCATTTTTGACCCCCAAGGAGCCTTCCTGCACATGTGCAGACAGGGAGGTTTTTCTTGACCTCAGGAGTGGGCACCTTATCTCTTTACTTCAGCAGAGCTCAGCTCTGCCACTGGCTTTGTCCTTGGAGTGTCTGGGTGAGAATAAAGCTTCAGTTTTACTCCACGTGACAAACACCAGCTGTCCGGCCCAGGTGCCCATCCATCTCGTACAAGACAACGTACAAATTGTATGCATGGGTGAGAGTCCCACCTGTGGGTTGCAGTCCTGCAGACGACGTACAACTGGCTGGTTTCTGGGCTTGATCACCCCAGTGGGCGGTGGGCAGTGTACAGGGTGCTGCCTCCTTCACTGGCCCTTTCTGGAAGCGCACGGGTTGGTGCCTGAAGAGACACCAGCAGGGGGCAGGTTGAAAAGGCAATCTCTCTTTCTGTCTCTTTCTCTTTTTCAGTCTTTTCTGTCCCTCCTCCCTTTACCTCTCCCTTGGTCTTCACACCTGCACCCCCGTCCCCTTAATCTTGAAAACTTCTTGTTTGTGTCTTTTAAGTTTTTTCTTTTTAAAAATTTTTTTATTTATTTATTCATTTATTTACTGGCTGCGTTGGGTCTTCGTTGCTGCACGCGGGCTTCCTCTAGTTGCGGCGAGCAGGGGCTACTCTTCGTTGTGGTGCGTGGGCTTCTCACTGCGGTGGCTTCTCTTGTTGCGGAGGGCAGGCTCTAGGCGCACGGGCTTCAGTAGTTGTGGCATGCAGGCTCAGTAGTTGTGGCTCGCGGCTCCAGAGCGCAGGCTCAGTAGTTGTGGTGCATGGGCTTATTTGCTCCGTGGCATGTGGGATCTTCCGGACCAAGGCTCGAACCCGGGTCCCCTGCATTGGCAGGTGGATTCTTAACCGCTGCACCAGCAGGGAAGTCTGAGCTGGTTATTTCTGAATGGAAAGAATAAGGGACAAAATATGGGTACAGAAAGTTATAGGAGGTTTGCGGAAGGGGAACATTGAGAAAAGAATTTTGTATGTAGTCAGAGTCTTCTAAGGTTGCATTAAATCTAATTAGGTAAATGGATTTTACTGAGAGTAGGCTGATACAGGACTGGATTTGGTTTTTCTCTCTCATAAGAGAACAAAGTTTTCCTGGAATACTTTTGATATCAGATTGTGTGAGTTTCTCTGCCTTTAAGTGATCTGTGTTTACTTTTGATATCGTTTTCCCCACATAAGCTCAAGGAATAATGGTTTCACAGCGACCTGTGATTCTTTCTGACCAGGTGTTTTAAAAGTTTTTCAAGTTTTTGACAGACTTCCCAAATATCAAATTCTAATTGAAATTCTCTTGACTTCCAGTTAACTTTGGGGTGCTTCAGGGGACCCCTGGAACATCCCAAAGAGAGATCCTAAACGAACTGGGTTAATCTGTAAGGAGAGGTTTGGCAGGTTCTCAGAGAACCCTGACAAGTTTAGGGATGAATTTATCACGCTGGGGTTGACATTCTCTCTCACCTGGCAGGACATCACAGATGTTCTGGCCCACTGTTGCACCCTGGATGAAAAGGAGCGTATACTGAGAAAGGCCAGGGAACACGCAGATGGCCTGCTGGCCACCAATCCACGCCACCAAATTTATCGGGTGGGGATGCAATCCCAGAACATGACCCACGCTGGGACTATGAAGAATGTGTAGGCCAGGCTAGGATGAGACATTATATTACTTGTCTGTCAGAAGGAATGAAAAGGTGTATGGTGAAGCCTGTAAATTATGATAAGGTCCGAGAGGAAAAAGATGAAGACCCGGCAGTCTTCCTGAGCTGGGTGACAGAGGCATTCAGGAAGTACACCAATACAGACCCTAAGACCGCAGAAGGGAGGACATTATTGGCCATGCATATTATCACCCAGGCTACTCCTGATATCCGGAGAAAATGCAAAAGCTTGAGGCTGGGCCCCAAACCCCGTTGTCAACCTTGGTAGAGCAGGCCTTCATGGTCTATAACAACTGAGGCTTAATGGAGGTGGCCAATAAGGATAAGAGGCTAATAAAACGCAGCCTTTGGCTGCTCTGATTCACCCACCACCTCGAGGGGACCTGGAGGGCTGAGAAGGCTGGACAGACCACCAAGAAGCTGCCTGGCCCAAACCAGTGTGACTTTTATCAGAAGGGGGGCACTGGAAAGGGGGAACGTCCTGAGCACCCTCCTGTGGGATGCCCGAGCGGCAACCCCAGCAGGTCCCAGCTCCTTGCGAATCTCTCGGATGAGAGATGCCGGCACGCTGACTGATAAGGCCTGAGTGCCTGCCAGCCTCCAGATCCCACTCGATCCATCCTCGTTACTCCAGCGGAGCCTCGGGTCACCCTTGATGTGGCAGGTAGGAGAAATGAATTTCTTGTAGGCACTGGAGGCACCTGCTCTGTTCTGACTTGGCCAGCCTGCCCCCTCTCCAACCGGGACTGTGCTGTGACAGGAGTTGATGGACAGCCAAAGGTGAGGTGATTTACGTCTCCCCTTGCCTGCAGAATCAGGTCCATTATTATTACTCACTCCTTTTTGTATATGCCAGAATGCCCTGTCCCTCTCCTGGGGAGAGATTTGTTATGTAAGTTAGGAGCTACTATATTCTTAGGACAGGGTGAAGCCCAAGGACGTAAATAATTCAAACAGAGAATGTGTCTATTAGTAGCCCCAGATGACCCACCTGTTGGTCATCAAAATATTCCCCAAGACATCCCCCAAGGAATTAGAGAATGGGTAGATCCTACAGTTTGGTATATCTCGGGGCCAGGAAGGGCAAAATGTGTTCCCCCTATAAAAATAAGGTTAAACCTGGGGAAAATACCCCTGGAAGAGACAATATCCTTGTCCTTTAAAGCCTGAGGCCCTGAGGGGAATCCAACCGCTGCTCAGCAGGTTCCTAAAACACGGACTCATTAGGCCCTGCCAATCCCCTTGCAGCACCCTGATCCTCCCTGTTCAGAAGCCTAACGGGGAGTATTGGTTTGTGCAAGAATTATGAGCAGTGAATGAGGCAGTCACCTCTATTCACCCACTGGTGCCAAATCCATATACCCCCCTCATCCAAGTGCCAGGGAGCGCTCAGTATTTCTCTGTTTTGGACCTCAAAGATGCATTTTTCTGTATTCTCCTACATCCAGACTCTCAATACCTTCTTGCCTTTGAATGGAGGGACCCTGACACCCTGGAGGCTACCCAGTATACCCGGATAGTGCTTCTGCAGGGTTTTCGGGACAGCCCCCGTCTTTTTGGAAATGCGTTAGCAAGGGAACTGAGGGAACTGAGCCTTGAGAACGGGACTCTCCTACAATATGTTGATGATTTATTCATAAGTAGTGAGACCAAACAAGATTCAGATCAAAATACTGTTAGGGTCCTAAATTTTCTGTCAAAAAGGGGATGTAAAGTGTCTCCAAACAAGGCTCAGATCTCACAGCAACAGGTTCAATGTTTAGGATGTTTTGACCCTAGGGGCACGAGCCCTGGCCATAGATCAAAAAACAACAGTTAGTGCTTTACCATCTCCAACCACAAAGAGGCAACTCTGAGGCTTCTTGGGATGGCTGGTTTCTGTCGTATCTGGGTTCCAAATTATGGCCTTAGAGCAAAACCCCTATATGAGGCTCTAAAGGGAGGAGAAAGGGAACCCCTTCCATGGAATAGGGACCACCAGTAGGCCTTTGAGATTCTAAAGACTGAGGTGAGTAGAGCACCTGCACTGGGGCTTCCAAATTTGGACAAGCCCTTCACCCTATATGTTCGTGAGAAGTCAGGGATAGCACTAGGAGTCCTGACCGAAAAGCTGGGACCGGATCAGAGACCAGTGGCTTACTTTTCAAAACAACTGGACTCAGTGGGGCTGGGATGGCCAAGCTGCCTTAGGGCAGTAGCAGCCACAGCCCTGTTGGTTAATGACGCTTCCAAGCTCACTCTGGGACAACACTTAGATGTGTTAAGCCCTCATCAGGTACAATCTGTGCTGGAAGTCAAAGGACATCATTGGTTGACTGGAGGAAGGTTAACAAGATATCAGGCCCTTGTAACAGACGCCCCCGACATTACCTTAAAGGGGTGCCAAACCCTGAATCCAGCAACTCTGCTTCCAGCAGTCGAGAGTGGAGACTTGCAGCATCAGTGTATGGAGACCGTAGAACAGACTTACTCCAGCAGGCCTGATCTTCTAGATGAGCCTCTTGACAGCCCTGAGGTCAGATGGTTTACTGATGGGAGCAGTTTTGTAGAAATGGGAACCCGATAGGCAAGGTATGCCATAGCTAGTCTAGATGAAGTCATAGAAGCCAAGGCCCTGTCACCCCAGCCATCAGCCCAGAAGGCTGAACTAATTGCATTAATGAGAGCTTTGCAATTAGGGAAGGATAAGAAATTAAATATTTTTATTGACTCTAAATATGGGTTACACATGCTACATGCTCATGCTGCCATTTGGAAAGAAAGAGGAATGTTAACTGCTAAAATTTCCCCATAAAACTTAAAGATTTGATTCTGGCTCTTTTAGAAGCAGTGCAGCTTCTGACCTAGGTAGCAGTAGTCCGCTGTAGGGGCCATCAGAGGGATGGATCTTTTGTGAACCAAGGGAACAGCAAAGCTGATCAAATAGCAAAACAGGCAGCTCGACTGCAGGAACCTGAACAAGTTATGGCTCTACTGACTGGCCCTCCTGAACTCCCTAGCCTTCTCCAGTATTCCCCTCAGGAACAAGAAAATGCTGAGAAATGGGGCTATGAGAAGGGAAGCACAGGCTTGTATAAAAAGGAGGCTAAGGTTCTAATCCCTGAGGCCCAACAATGGAAACTCACTAAGAGCTTACATGATGCCACCCACTATGGGAGGATGCGCTATGGGACTTGATGCAAAAGGCTTTTTCAGGGACGGGGCTTAAAAGAACAGAAAAACAAGTAATGCTTGCCTGTGATTTATGTGCCCGTAATAACCCACAGACCCATCCAATTCCCCTTTCGTTACTCAAGCCAATCCACACCGAGGGACATATCCAGGGGAAGACTGGCAGTTAGATTTCACCCAAATGCCCCCACGATCAGGATATAAATACCTTCTTGTGTTTATTGATACTTTCACAGGATGGGTTGAAGCCTTCCCCACCCGATCTGAAAAGGCTATGGAAGTCTGTAAGTCCCTTTTAAAGGAAATAATTCCTCGGTTTGGACTTCCAAAGTCCTTCCAGAGCGATAACGGGCCCTCTTTTATAGCCAAAATCACCCAGGGACTCACAAAGGCCCTAGGGATAGGATCTATGAGCTACACACCTCTCGGCACCCCCAGTCTTCAGGGAAGGTAGAGAAAATGAACCATACTTTAAAGAAAACCTTAGCAAAGCTCTGCCAAAAAACTCATGAACCCTGGACCAACCCCGAGGAGTGGTCTGAGGCTTAGCCCATTTAAAATGACCGATGGGAGGCCTTTTCTTACTACTGACATTCTACTAGATGAGGAAGTGAACCAGGCCCTGAGATATATTCTTAATCTAGGACAAGTTCAGAAGGCAATCCAGGATTATGCCCACAAGGCACTGCCAGCTCCCACTGAAACTACAGAGGAAGGAACAGTTCCTTCACAAATAAACCCTGGGGACCAAGTTCTTCTTAACACCTGGAAAGAGGGGTCCCCTTGAAGACCAACTATCGCCAAAATGGAAGGGCCCCTATAAAGTAACTTTAACCACCCCCACTGCTGTCAGACTGCAAGAGATATCTAGTTGGGTACATTTGTCCAGACTAAAGCTTTTACCTGCGGAAACCCCTCAGGTCACAACAGAACAATACACCTGTGAGCCAGTGGAAGATCTGAGATACCTATTCAAAAGACAGGCACCATCAACAGGTAAGTAAAATGAGGTAGTGGGTTGGCTCCTATGTGAAGCCTTAATGAGACTTGGGACCTCTCTTGCTTCCTTGGCTTATGTGGTTCTTGACGACCGTCTGGACCTTGATTACCTTCTGGCCGAACAAGGCAGAGTGGCTTCATGATTTTGCCTCCCTTGTCTGGCCAGCAGTTAAGGAAGCCCAAAGTTAACCCTGGTTCCCTCCCTTACTAGGCCCTTTAATGACTGTCAATGTTCTTCTTCTTTTTAGCCCTTGTTTGTTTAACCTTTTGGTTAAGTTTGTGTCATTTAGCCTCCAACAGTTTGAAGTAAGGCTCATGATGGCTCAAGGAATTCAGCCCATTCCAGCGGAAAGTGGCCCAGGTCCCTATAGGTCCTTGGAACAGTCAGTGAGGGACTTCTACACCTCTAGGGTAGGCTAAGGGCTGTGGCCCCTGTCCAGCAGGAAGAAGTTTCAGAAGAAGACAACTCTGGCCCCTTACTCCTTAAGAATAAGGGTGTAGAATCTCTCAGGGGGGAATGAGACAGGCTGGGACCTGGGACCCTTTGCTGGGACCTGGGACCTTTGCTGCAGTGCTGCAATGCTTGCACCTGGACACACCTCTCGTCAAGCAACAAAATACAAAGAAACTGTATGGGATTAAAAATAACATGGGATTAAAAATAACTATGTGCATGCACAGTTGGGGCAAATTCTGGACCCAAAATGTACAAAGAGACCAAAAACTCCAACTGCCACTTTTGAAGAGCCTGGAGCAAAAACAGGGTACTGAGCACGCTCCTTGCACACAACACCACCTAGAAGGTGGGCGAAACACCTAAGCCACCCCCTTGGCCTGACCCCTGGACGCACCTCTACCCTCCCCCCATATAAGGAACAAGCTCGCCCCCACTTGGGCTTTGTCCTTGCTCCCTCCTGCTGCAACAGGGGCCCCAATTAAGCCTTGCCTGAATTTCTTGTCTGGCCTCTAATTTCTATTGATTGGGGAAGGCAAGAACCCTGGTTGCTAACAAATGGACGGCCAGGAAATTCCCTCACTTTTTTTTTTTTTTGGCTGCGTCCAGTCTTAGTTGCAGCACGTGGGCTTCTCTCTAGTTGTGGCATGCGGGTTTTCTCTCTCTAGTTGTGGCACGTGGGCTCCAGGGCACCTGGGCTCTGTAGTTTGCAGCACATGGGCTCTCTCATTGAGGCACGCGAGCTCAGTAGTTGTGGTGCACGGGCTTAGTCGCCCCACAGCATGTGGGATCTTAGTTCCCTGACCAGGGATCGAACCCACGTCCCCTGCATTGGAAGGAGGATTCTTTACCCCTGGACCACCGGGGAAGTCCCTCCCTCACATTTTTTAATTGAAGAAAACATACTAAAAAATATGTATTTTTGAGGAGTGTGTGGAAAGGAAGAGACAGTATTACTCCATGGACTTTCTTGTATCCTTAAGAGACTCATTATCAACACTAGAACAGGGCTTTCTCCTGTACAGACCTTGCCTACTTCTCCCTTTCTTCCGGGCTGACAGAACCTGATTTTGTTCAGATATATGGTGGCCATGAGCTTTAGAGAAGGCTAGACCTTTTCCTAGCCCCAGGAGGTGGTTTTTGGTTAGTCTAAGTCAGTGGTTCTCATATTTGAGCTGCATCAGAGTCATCTGGAGGACTTGTTAAAACACAAATAAGTGGGCCCCCCTGTCAGATTTTCTGATTCTGGTGGGGCCCCAGAATTAGCATTTCTAACAGATTATGACGTTAATACTGCTGGTCACACTTTGAGAATCAATTCCCTTGCCAGTGATTGACTTAGGACTGAACATGTAATACAGCTCTAGACAATGAACCCTCAGAGGCAATCTGCTTGGGGGGGATTCTGGGGCATACGAAGTAATAAATTCTCTGTCAGTCTTTGAAGATGGTGATGTTTAAGGATGTGATGCTGGGAGCTGCTGCAGCCATGTTGCTTACATGAGGGAAGTGGCTAACATGCTAATGATAGCAAGACAAAGAGAAAAATTTGGGTGACTGGTGACATTATTGAGTTATAGATTAACCAACCCTCGAACTGCCCTATCTTCAGACAACTTGATATGTGACATAGAAAAATATTTCTTCTTTAAGCCATCTGAGAGGAGTTTCCTGGTACTTGCTGCAGAAAGTCACCTAACTGATACATACACCTCTCTCAGTGCCCAGGGAGACTCCAGGTGATTTAGTTGCAGAGTGATTTACCTAAAGTCAGATTTTGGACATTTTTAGGTTTTTTCTAATTTTCATTATTTTCAATAGTGCTGCAAAGAACAACAGTTTTTCTTTTTCTTTTTTAAAAAAATATTTTGGCACTTTTCCAAAGGCCATTTTCCCAGAAGTGAAATTATGATGTCATAGGCATGCATATTTCTTAGCTTTTGATAGTATTTCCACATTTCTTTCCAAAACAATTGTTTTAGTTTACACTGCATTCAGAGAGGGACTTGCCTGGTGGTGCAGTGGTTAAGAATCTGTCTGCCAACGCAGGGGACACGGGTTCAAGCCCTGGTTCAGGAAGATCCCACATGCCGCGGAGCAACTAAGCCTGTGCGCCACAACTACTGAGCCTGCGCTCTAGAGCCCGCAAGCCACAACTACTGAAGTCCACACACCTAGAGCCCGTGTTCCACAACAAGAGAAGCCACCGCAAAGAGAAGGCCACGCACCACTATGACGAGTAGCTCCTGTTCACCGCAACTAGAGAAAGCCCACATGCAGCAAAGAAAACCCAACGCAGCCAAAAAAATAAATCAATGAGAATCCACTTAATCACGTTCTTTTTCTTAATCTTAAGCAATTAATAGACGAAAAATGGGGTCTCGTCATTTTAACTTGCATTTCTTTGATTTCTAGTGTGTCTGAACATTAGTCTGGTTGCAGCTTATAAAGAGGTTGGAGGGAGTAAGGCTGGGAGTAGAAAGATGAGTTAGGCTCTTGGAATAGTCCTGGTGACAGATGAAGATGGCTTGGGACCAAGGTAATGGTAGTCGGGTTTGGATATTTAGCAAGGAGAACTGGCAAACTTGGATGTGGGTTACGAAAGAGAGTAAGGAAACCACAATGATACCTAGATTTCTGGCTTAGGAGGTGCCATTCCTTGAAGTGGGAAATATGATGAGAAGTTTAGGTGGGATGGAGTGGGGAGATATAAGTTCAGGTTTGGCTATTCTGAGTTTGAGGTGCCTATGGGACATGCCAGTGGAGTGGTCAGGATCAGTTGGATATCTGGAAGGAGAAGTATGGGCTAGAACTAGAGACATGGCCTCGAGCTGAACTGTGCTTTAGGAAATTAACTGGAAGCCATAGAAGTGATTCCTTTATTTGCTAAAGCCTTGAGGTAGGTCTATTTCCAGTGACAAGATGATAATTTTGAATCACGTAGAACCTCATTTATAGTTCTTCAAATGTTCGTATCAAATATTTCCTTGCTGCTGAGCAGGGCAGTTTCAGCCCTCCCAAGGAACAGTTTCCAGCAACTCTCAGCATGTTTGGCTTAAGACAGTGTTTCTACCCTCCTGAATCTTTACCCTTGCTGGAGACCATGCATTTGATACAGTTAGACGGCAAGGCAGCCCTCATGGGGAGCTTCTAAGCCATTTGAGTAGCAGACCCTAGATGCTGAGATCTAATTCCTAGTTTTCTACTCCCGCTTCAAATTGTGCCCTTACCACTAAGGGCCTAAAGCCAGAGTGCAAGTGAATGAAAGCAAGACGTTGATGCCATTGTCTGAGGTCAAGGGTCACTCAAGCAACAAGAGCAGAGCAGGTGGCTTAAAAAAGAGCATCCCCAGGTTCTCCTTGCTCCTGAACCTGACTCCCACTACCCTAGCCCATTAGCTGGCTGCTTCTTATGTTAAACCACTCGAATCTTTCTTTAGCTTTTTTTGGAAAACTGGGTATTTCGTCCTGCAGAGGAGACTCACATTATCCACTTTGTCTCAAAAGAGGGCAGTAGAGGGCAGCAAAGAGCCTGCTTTTGTAAGCCAAGAAAAAAATGAAACAAGTCAGTCTACAACATTATCCCAAAGTCAAGGTACCCAAAATACGGCACATCATGCTTCATGTGTTCATGAATGGGAGAGATCTTTGTGGAGGCAGGGCCACTGCTGGAGAGCCAGCAGAACTTAGGTGACTCCTCTTGCAAACAAGAGTTTAGCTATGTGCAACTTATGGTTTTATGGAGAAGGAGTCTGGTCTTGAGGAAGGAGCACCAATTGGCAAAATAGCTCTGTTCACAGAAAACAGCATGGGAGAACATATGGCAACACATGGCAAATTGGGGGAACAGCAAGAAATTTGGTATTGGTGGAACATAGGATTGGGGTGGGGATGGCAGTGAAAGGTGCACAGATGTTATGTGCCATCCTGAAGGGTTTAGATGTCACCTTAAAGGACTGAACATCATTCTGAAGGCGATGGGAAGTCACTGAAGGATCTTGAGCAGAGCAGTGACCTGATTTGTTAGGCAATTTTGGTTTTCAGTTTTTGTTTTTTGTTTTTTTAATATTCATTTACTTATTTGGCTGTGCCAGGTCTTAGTTGCAGCAGGCGGTATCTTTTGGCGCGGGTTGAGGGATCTTCCCCTTCTCCCCCTCTAGGGTCTTTGGCTAACCTAATTATTAAATTATTAAATTGACATAAGACACATTAACAGGGGAAAAATAAATTTAATTTTGTACATTCATACGTGTGTATGGGAGCTCCACTAAGATATGAGACTCAAAGAAGTAATCAGAGCAGGAAGCTTTTATACCTTTCAGACAATGAAACAACAATTTTGTGAAGAATTGACAAGGGGGGGGTTGTTGGGCTATGGGTAGTAAATGGTGAAGAATAAACAAGGTTTTCTTTTGTTTTTAATAAATTTATTTATTTATTTTTGGCTGCGTTGGGTCATACAACATCCCTCTCTTAGTTGAGAACCACTGGTCTAGTAGAAGCTATGTGTGTGGGTAAAATCATTTAGAAGAGTTGAGAAATAT